CCAGGACACACATGCACTTCCATTCTCCCATTTCTCTGTTACAGTCTTCTCGAAAACTCCCAACATACTATCAGCAGCTGCCTTCTCTTCTTACTCCACTTGTTCCCGAGAATTTTAAAGGATGTATTATTCCTCATTTTATTCCTGCATACCAGGCACCACAAACCTGGACAGCAGGCTCAAGAGTGAAGACAGCACGTTAAGAAGTGCCGCACTTTCGTTTGCATGCACACCAAAGTGTGTACACACACGTATATACTTCTAAAAATAACATAAATACTCCAGTGTTCAAGCAATTGTTCTTTTGGACACAAGTTGCAGATTCCTGTGTCACTACAAGCATACCCCCCTGAATATCAAGCAAGAACTAATTAAATGCCTTTCTATTAAATTATCAAGTACCTTTCAACCAACAACCTGAAAGCTTTAAAGCACTCATTAGGAACTACAATGTCACTTTTTTTCTGGATGCAGTGGAGGACTTTTCTAAAAATACGCCGGCACAGGAAATACCTATGAACACATCCAAGAGATTTCAAGGCTTCCTGTTAACGCACCAAGTGCAAATTTCCAGCGAGGCCAATGTGGCAGCCGCTGTGTTCAGGTTCAAAACACTGTCGCTGTGTTCTGTGAGCACTGGTTTGTCATACCTGGGTGTGCACGTACAAAGTACACATATCAGTTCATCACATAATGGCTCAACCCTCTATTCTTAATCAACAGCAACACTTCCAAAGCAAAAGAGGCCCAAATACGGAGACTATTTTTGGCATATGTAGGAATTCAATTTTCTTTCACAATTTTTGAGGTGTCCAAAATGTTTTAGCTGAAATGGTCTAAAAATCACATTTGTGATGCTATGCAAACGAAAACTTAACAGAAGCCAAGAACATAACCGGAAAGAATGGAAGAGGCCCACCACTACAGCTACTAATGTTGTCTTGTCACACGGGAATGCTTTTTTCCAGCAGCTCAGTTATGACTGATTCGACTGGGGAGACAAGGAAGAAAGGATGAAAGAACAGGTTATCTCTGTGCTTACGTACAAGAAGTTCCTCCAAATTAGGGAGGTGCTGCAGGGGGGAACTCACCAGAAATATTTCTTTGAGAAATACAGTAAGTGGCTGCACCCTAAACCAAACTGAACATAAGCCCTTTGATACTGGGAGAGACATGAGGGCTAATGCGGAGATGAGCCCTCAAGACCCTTGACAGCAAAGCCCAGCAGTTTTTGTTTGACACCACAGCGAAGAGGCAGCCATGGAAAGGTGGTGGTGTCAGTGTCTCAGCAAAGCAACCTGCAGCAGCTTTTTACATGAATGAGAAAAATCACAACCGCGTTTGTCCCAAACCAGAGCCAAGATATGATCAGAAAAACAAAAACACCAGATGACCAAAGCTTGGAAAGAGCTTCAGGTTAGAGAGAGAGGAGCTGAGAGAACATGCGAAATCCTGATGCAGCACTATGTAAATATGTTGAGCCTACTGGGCACGTAGTGGAGGATGATGCTAAAACATCCACTTAGTATTAAATACTTCAATAATTGTGAGCATCATCCATGCTATGGGACATCTGTTTCCAGCGCTAGATCTCAGGAATATTTGTAGGAATCACAGCAGCACTGGCAGTAGCCATGAAAAGCGAGCGTGCATCGTGTTCTCCAGGCTGGATGGCAAGGACCCGGAAAAGCAGATGTTTATGTTCAAAGTCCAGTGGCCAAAGTCTGCAACAGGTTGCCCAGGGAGGCGGTGAGGTCTCCGCCCCTGGAGACAGTAAAAACCTGACTGGGCACAGTCCCGGACAACTTGCTCTAACCACCCCTCCTCGACCAGGGGGGTGGGCAAGACGATCTGAAGAGGTCCCTTCCCACCTAACCGACACCGTGCCTCTTTGCAGGCACAGTCACATGCGTTGTCACCAACCACAACGACCGAATGCTGCATCTGTGGGAAAGGAAATACATCTAATACAGCGCACAAGTTAGTATCACTGTCTGTGATCGGCTGGAAATTCTTCAAAAATATCGAAAGATACTTTTGGAATATATTTAGGAAGTATTGGTTATTCTCCCTAAATTAAACTTCCAAATTAATAGATGAGGGTTGGAAGGAACATAGATAGCAGATAAGGTAGCTCTTTACCTAGTCACCTGCTCAGCTCCTGCTGTCTAATCTGCAACAGGAACTCGAAGAGGAAGAGGGTTCAAGAGAGGAATTTGGAAGGAACTGGATTTAAACAGCACCCCATTTCACACTCTTGGTCTGAAGTGTCTCCGAAAAGCTCAATCTTAGTTTCAAACGTGTGCATGCACTGCAAGAAGACAGAAACGCCCTTTGTTTTATCATTATCATAAAAGATTTGACAACCTCATACATGAAGGTTTCACTCCCCCCCTCAAGCAGTCTGGTCAGAACTGCATCAGCTGCCAAGCCTGCACGGCCAAAGAAACATCCTGCGGGAAGAGGGGATTCATTCTGTCTTTCCCCTCAATTTCCCAGCACAGTCACTAACAAGTACCATAAACATACTGCTCTCCTCCTTCCCTAACGTATAGTGAAACCCAATACTTTGACATTTTCCAGCTGACTTCCTGCTACAACTCCACTCGCTTCTTACTACATGCCGACAGCACGTAATTTTTTCAGAGTTCTAAACACAGACGCCACGAGATTCAGATTCCCACATCTTCACAGTGCACTAACTTTTCCCATGTGCTCCCCGCTTCCCACCTAGTAAATCAAGTAAGACACTGAACAAGTTTGCTGTGCTAGAAGTCCTGCGGAACAAGTTGGTTTACGTAACTGTAAGCACAGCAGAGGAATAGTTCTCTTAACCGAGATGATCTTCATACTATTCTGGTCTCACAACAAATTAGTGTTTTTGAAATTATCACTATTACTGAAGAGCCTTCCTTCCAAAAATACCTCAGCTGTTGAACATTTGACTGCTAGTTTGCCTAGAAGGCAGGAAAAAAACCAATTTGGCTTCATTATAAACAAACTTTTTTGCAACATTAAGCAAATTAACCACACTTAAAGTACCTCATTTGTTGAAAAAAAATGTAAAGCAAATCTTTTCAAAACCACACTGTCTCGCCTTCTTTACAATTATTGAATCAAAGATGGATTCATATTTCAATACCTTATACTGCAAGAGGTCATCAACATCTGTGAGACACCTTCCACACAATCTGAACAGCCTTGGCGTAATAACGGATTCATACTGGAGAGCCCCAGCCAACGGCCCCCACTGTCAAACACTCTAGTGATCACGTCACACAATAATCTTTCTTACACCACATCTAGAGGCGAGGTTCTAAAGCATTCTGCAAGTTAAACAAAAACCCAAAAAACCGCAAACCCTTCATTTTAGGGATATCCCTCCAGAAGCCACAGAAATGATCAAAAGATAAAATTAACCACGGAAACACAGAATTTTTAGTTTCAGTCTCAAAATCATGCATACGATGAAAGTCTGTAGAAATATCAACCAGTATCACAAATTTGCCAGCTTATTAGCAGGGAAGCTAGAAAGATTACAGTCCTGACTAAAACAGCTGAACTCTACTCAGTTTAACGATGCTACTAAGAAAAAGCCACTGCAGATGCGCCACAGACTGTGCTAACACCACCACCATCTGAATACTCGGCTTTTTTTAAATGGTTTCCATTAACTATATGCAGTCAAATCAACTTAGAGGTGGCTTGCAGCAATTTAGAACAATTCAGCAGAAACTTGTTCGTAACTCACTGAAGCTTTTCTTTAGCATAATTCACCTTTTCAGTGAATTTACACCAACTTTTTTTTTTTAAAAAAATTAATCAGTAAAGTTGTGCCTTTGCCAAATACATGACACTACAATCAACCTTCTCAATTGCCTTGCTTTTTATGTAAAACAAAGACCAGTAACTGATTAGGGCTTCTATGTTGTTCTTATGAAATGAAAAACAAAGTTCAGCAAAAAATAAGAAGGCACCTAAGTCCTGTTTAAGGTTTGGTCCACTCCAGTTTACTGAAAGGAACTACAAAGCACAGATTTCACTGAGTTTCCACGCTGCTAGGATTTAAACCTGTCCCTTCAGGCTTTCTGACAGTACGTCGTTCCGAACAGGCGGACTCAGTAACGTACGGCAGCGTAACCCCGGCTCCCCCAAGGACCTGCACCGGCACGGCTGCCAGCATCCGTGCAGGCAAGGCCGAAGCAGCCGCCTCCGGGGACTGCGGGGCTCACACGCAGTCTGCAAACAAGGGAGGCGTGCCTGATTGGGGGGTTTTGTCCAGTGCAGTTTAAAAAGAAAAAAAAATAATAGAAATGTATCCTAAAGCATAAAATTATGACATATTAGTTCCTCTGCATTTCAAAGTTGTATTTAATTTCATCTTAAATGACACTAATTTTTCTTCCTGGTGATTTCCAATCACATGCTCTAACTGGTCTGTGGGGGGCCACATGAGCCTACAAACACTTGGGCTGGAAAAAGGGAGGTGCCAGGTAACCGGGGAAACTGCTCCTGGCCAGGAGCATCAGCCTGTTCCTGTCAGAGTTACCTTACATAAAACCTAAACAGAAGCTAAACTGAGACCTCTGGACTTGGACTAGCAACGCCTGAATAGTTACAAACCTGTCGGTAAAAAAAAATATTTTGAGACATCTTACACTTTGGATGGGAAAAGCAGATGACGAACTTCAGCCAAAAATTCCAGCAGCAAGTGCCAAGCCTTGCTGCAACACAGTTTCAGGTACTCCGTCTCTGCCTGGCTCAAGAGCCACCAATTACTCACAACGGACAGCTGACTCCACGTCGATCTCAGGGGCTTGTAGTGGAAAACAATCTTTTCATCTGATTTCTGCTCCCGGGGTTCAGACTCTTCATCAGAATCTATGTCCAGAGCTTTTTCTTTATAGTTCTGATATAGTACAGCATTTTCTATAAAACAACAACAGCATGTCAGTAATTGCTAGAAAGTTAGCTTAGTTGCTTTCCTAAAAACTGTAGCATTTAAACAATGAAAGAAACCAAAATGCCCATGTGCTGTTCACAAACTCCACGAGACAAAGATAGTATCTTATTTGGGACGGACAATGGCGCAGTACAGTAACAATGGATCACTGTACCGCTACCAAGAAGATCCACACTGACTGAATTAAAGAACAGATGTGTCCTTTGTCGAGAAAAAACAGAAAACAATTTTTTTCTTCCTTGGGGTGCTGTACCATGTTTCATAATTAGCCAGCAATTTTAAAACGGAACGAGCGTGTAAGCAGAGCAGCGTCACTAAGCTGGAGCTCTAGCAGTTTTAATCTACAGGACCATTGTAAATCCACCACACCACATGTGCAAATTTTTATCCTGTCAGCTTTAAATACCATCTTCACACCTCACTAAGCGAAGGAAATGATCCAAATTTCAGCAATTTGAGGTCAGAATGATTCCAAATAAAAACTTCAAAGCTTGCTTGAATGTGAACCCTGCAACAGAACAGACTCCTCACACATGCCGGTGCTGCCAGGACTGATTCAGCACCAGCAATGAGACACAGGTGTGGAGCGCACCCCTCCCGCTTCCCAGCTGCCCTGGCACACACCCTTTCCCAAAAGCAGACAGAAAAGGACAGGGGAAGTCAGAACCAGAATGACCTACAGGCAGATTAAGCTGTTAAGAAAGCAAGCTCTTAAAGGTACTTCAGAGACAGGCCGGGCTCTGGACAATACCCAGTCCTCCCCTACAAGAGAAAGGGGAAGGAAGTAGAATTCGGGGTCTCCACACACAGCTGCAACTCCTGAGGTCTCAGGCCGGGCTGGCGGGGCTGTACTACCTGCTCAGAGCGCGCAGCCCGGGCTGCGCTTTGTCCAAGGTCCAGCCTCCCGCATTTCTTCTTTGTGATGGGGCTCTGTAGCTCACACGCTTCTGTGACAGGAAATTGTGCACAGCAAATGAATTCTGAGAGGCATTACTGAGAAAGTTATGAGTTGGGATCAGTCCAAGATAAAAGGGAGCCACTGGAAGAGACTCTAGAAACGTCATCAGGAGACAGTGTGAGAAAAAAATGAAAGTAAGAGTTAAGACAGGGGGTGATGCAAATAGGACAAAGTGGAAAGTTCTGAAAATAAAAACAAGAGGAAAAGGAAGGTAACTGCAGCTGACATGACCTTAAGGAGGCATTAAGCAGACACAAGCCAAGAGAGTAGCAGTTACTATAACAAAACTTCCATGGACTCATAGCCAGAAAAAAAAATTTTTCTTGCTGAAATACTGGGAAAAGCAGCAAACTTGGCAAAGCCCAGAACTAATGAGTAACATAAAAAAGCAGATACACGGACAGTGGTTTTCTGACACTTAAACCTGAAGCCGAAGTAGCAAGAAAATGATTACGAAGTCAAAGAATTCACCCCAGCATCCTTGCCCTACGAGGGAAAAACAGCTGCACGAACCACAAACTTGCAGAGTAACAGTTCAGGCACCTGCTGCAAGTGATGCCCCCCAACCTGTCAGGTGACCCACAGAAGCCACCCGGGGGGAGTCCCAGGGAACAGGCAGGAAGGCAGGCCCACCCGCAGGAACGAGCCTCACCCGCGTGATTCCACAGAACTGCCAGGGCCGAGGCAGACACATCAATCCATTTGTCTTTTAGCGGGGACCGGAGTTTAAGGCGAAAAGAAGCCCCTCAAAGAAAACCCCATTTTTAGCCTGCCGCTCTTTGAAATAGTCCCTAAAGTACATCTAGTGCCAATATCATGGTCCATGTTTTAGTCAGTTCGCTGAAAAACAAGTTACTTGTCTTGGACTACGTGTGAAAGAAGTTTGCAAACCGACCCCAAGTTCACTTCTCCTGTGATGGAGCATACTATCAAATCCGCACAGAAAAGGGCTTACCTTCCCCATCAAACGTCCCTTGTCCTTTCAGCACTTTCTTCTGATCATTTTAAGAGAAAAAGAGATACAGACACATTAAAAGAAGAATGCAAAATAACCAACAGTAGCAAGAACTTCTGTTTTATTTAATACTTAGGCACCAAATTAACAGGCCCTAATCTATAAACTTCCCATGCTGGACAAGGACTCATGAAAACAATTGCTTCACCACAGAAAGTGAAAAGCTACTCCAGCTCTCCTTCTCTCACGCACTCTTTATCCGTCTGAGTCCCAAACGCTTCACTTTTCCTACGTTTCAAGAGCACAGTACACCAGCTTTACAACAGTTCAGTGAACTTGCAACTCATTCCACTGCCATGGGCTTTCCTATGGGGCCACGGGGTACACGACTGAGCGGCTGCCTTGTCCCACACCCTCTGCAAAGAACAACCACATCCAGTATTTCATAAACTAACATTTTGAGACCAAAACAAACCTCTGAAATAAAACAGCTGTTTTGTGCAACAAGTCCTATGGTCTAAGAAGCCCACTTAAAAAAAACGCTCCTAGCAAAGGGTTTTGTATGTAAAAACTGGGACATGCCATGTTCTCCTATTTTAAACATAACTTACTGTTAAAGTCTACTACCAAAACAAACCACCTCCCTACACAGCAGCAGCTCACAATTTGATCCATCACCATTTCACCACTTGTAGCATTTTCACAAAAGCTTCCATAACCATAATTTTTAATTTGGTTGAAAACTGTCATAAAGCTGGTAATTATTTTAACAGCTACAGCATTAGCCCTTAGCCTAGAGTACTCTACCACACTATTCCCAACACTCCGCAGAAACTTACCAATTTTCAAAAAGTAAGAAATTATAATTGAAAGGAAGGAAATGCAAGATTGCAGTATGATATATTCAAGTAAAATATTATTTTCAGTAAGTCTTAATAACTTTATTTTAAAATGTTAATATTCAATGTAAATCTACTACTCCTAAGGGATTACAGCAAGAATTAAAAATAGGCATTCTGCTTTTACTTGGAGGCATTAAGCTACAAAAAGATACCTGAAGGGGCCTCTATCAGTTTAAGAATCACACTCCAACTTTTAAAAATACTTTAACATCTTAGAGTAGGAAGGGAGGAAGTTCACTTTTCTGTCAATCTGTCCACTCTAGCAGGCAGACTTTATTAAGTTAATATCTTTTTGTTTTTCCTGTTTACTACTTTCCATGAAAAGAGGTTGTAAATCATCCGTTCGATTGTGAAAGAAGCCCCCGGCGTGCTGGAGAACCCAGCAGGGAATGCGAGGCTGCAGCAACACCTCTCTGAGCTGCCCAAATCCCAGTAGAACCGCGTCCCTGAAGCCTCCGCCACTCTGCTTTCCAAACACCACTCCTAAGTGATCTGTCAGGCTCATCCCTAACTACGGAAAGTCCTGTGGCAGCAAAAAGCAAACTGAAAAGAAACCCCAGCGCTTACGAACACACAGAGATTGCAAACCACGCTGCTCTACACCATCCAAATCAACGAGCCACCGACCAGCACAACTCACCTTTACCCTCCCCAGACTGGAAAACTTCTCTTTATCTTCAACAACTGCCTTAAGTATGGGCTGGGACATTCTGTTTTTCTTTTTAAAAGCAGAAGAGCCGTCGAAGTCCACGCCGCTCACCACTGCTCTGCGGTAGGACGTCGACCTCAGGCCTCGCCTCAGGGTCCCTGGGCTGTCCAGGTCGCCCTCGGCCTCCTCCTCAGCGTCGGCCACCAAAGGCACGCTGAGGCTCTCCACCATGCTGCGGACCTTCAGCACCCTCTTGCTCGTCTCTGCATTCTGGCCGCTGGCTTTGCCCGTCACCTTTGTTTCGGAAGCCAAACTCTTGGGGATGATCTGCTGCGTGCCCACTTTGAGAGCGGCGGGGCTGTGGGTGCTCAGGACCACGGGCTGCT